TATGTAGCCTAGCTTCAGATTCAGGTTGTATTCAGTAGTGAATGTCTCTGTAAACTGACTGTGTTTGTAAAACTGCCTGCACAAAATCAAAGAGTGTATTTAAGCCCTCAGAGAAATCCCACTCACTAGATTTTTTTCCATTGCTAATTTCTGTATTTCTGAATATATATTTTTTCCTGGCAACTAAGAACATCAAGCCATTCCATATGAACTCAGTGTTAGAGAAGGTTTTAAAATAACGTTAGTATAGTCAGGAGCATATATGTAATCAATTTATTCAGGATACTTTAGATAATAAAGTCCTAGTAGTAGAGGTTGTTTTACATCTGTTTCTCTAACGCACTGTAGCGTCCTCAGTGTCTTTGTTACTCTATGAAGCAATTTAATTTGGGTAACTTCATTTTCACAATTTATCTGCATTCTGTATAATCCTTTTTTATGATTGTCTTTGCGTTATCTTTGGCATAATTGATGTTACAACCACCCTGAGAACTACTGGTGAAACAGCTGTTTTTTCTCTGCAGGTCAAAGAGATTGTGGCACAGCACACTAAAGAGTGGTCTGAGATGATCAATACGCACAGTGCTGAAGAGCAAGAAATCCGTGATTTACACTTGAACCAACAGTGTGAACTACTGAAAAAACTGCTGATTAATGCACATGAACAGCAAACCCAGCAGCTAAAATTTTCCCACGACAGGTGAGCAGGGAGGGCAGTGACATGTGATAACGAGGGTTTGGATTCTATCTCTGTAACACACGGTAGTCTTCACAGCTCCTGCACTACTGGCAAAGGTATTGGGCTGCATGCAAGGTAGAAGTAAAATAAATGATCAGATGGGGGACAGAGAGATGCAGGAATAGGTCTCTTAGCTGGTTTAGATTGTCAGAAGGGAGCGGCTGCAACGAAGCTGCGACAGTTTGCATCAACTGTGGATGTGCTTAGGCTTTACCCAGGCACTTGAATTCCGAGGGCTGGGAAATGAGAAGTATTAAACATGGAAATAAGGTCTTAAAACCTTTAGCCGACAGGTTGCAGGGTAAGCTACTTCAGAGTGACGTATTGTTCTGTAAGGACTGGGAACACAGAAGATACTGCATGACACTGCCTTGGTGTTGCGTTTGTTATTAACCACAGTACCCCTTTCAAATTAAATGAAATCGAAATACACCTACTACCGCAGCGTTAAGAATGCTAGTAAATAGCGGAACCCTTGTCTTATGCTACAATCTGTTATGTAAAGCAGTCTAAAAGCATATGAATGTACTAATGTATATATTCCTATGTAATTGTCTTCAGCATCTTTCCCATAAAAAGCATGGGGAAAAAAGGAATAAATAAATCACATTTAAAGAAGGAAATGAAATTATTTTTAAAATTCCTGAGTGAAATAACAGCTTATCTTTGCATCAGAGAGAATAGATCCCGGGACCTTCAAGCTTTCCATCCAACCGAGAGTTGTCCCAGCAAAAGGCTACAGTGAGCTTATCTTTATGTTACTCTCTGTGTTAACCCATGTATTCAAGATGTTCTGCAATACATACCCAGTCAAAAATGAAATTCAAAAATTGCTAAATTATAATACAAATGCATTAATCAGAAGATACTAGCCAGAGGAAGGTTCAGTCCTTAGTTCTCTATATACAAATCGTACTATCTGCATCTACCCAGAGAGATCACATCACTTTCTTTGTAACAGTCCTGTTTTCTGTTCTATTTGCAATTCTGTACAGTACTTAGGAGACATTTTATTAATATATAGCTTTTCTGTGCAATAAGATTTTTCTCATCTCTTGAAAGTATTTTTGTTTTCATTTCTATGCCTGTTTTTTTACTCTCTTGACTTTGCTAATGTAAAGCTGTCATTATAGGCAGCTATTATAGCTATTATAGTTAAATGAAGTTGAAGTTTACTTTTTTTTAGCCTTCTTCTCATAGATCTTGCCTTTGGGTTTAGAACTTTTGTATCTCTACATTGTTTGAACAGCCCTATGTCATTTTTTATAAATGAATCTTATATTCTTATTACTTGATCTTGCTTTCTTAGTCAAAGTCATTTGTGCTCTGTCCATATATTGTTCTATTTTAAGAGCTACTGAGGAACAGGCCTCCAAATCTGGGTCCTGATAAATAATAAGTACTATTTCTTCTGAGCTGTCCCAGCAGTAACCACCTTCACAGTTCTGCTTATTTCTGCTTATTCAGGAATTTGTACCTAAACCCCAGCTGTGAGACTTTCTTGTTTAAAACTATGGCTGGCTAGTTCAGAAGATTTTGGAATGTGAAATGCTGACGTGTGAATAATAATGCCTCAAAAGAGACTTTACACTTTATTGGTTGTAAGCTAGTTTATAGGCTACGTTGTGTGTAGGAGTGCACGTGTGAATGCATTGGTCCGTATACGTGTATGTAATAGCCAAGAGACAGCTCAGGTAACTACAGGAAAATAAAGGTTGTGTCTGAGAGCGGCATGGCAATGGCTGGTGCTGTAAGCGCGCTGTGCCCACCACACTGTGTGCGAGAGCTGGGGTAAGGAGGTAGCGCTCAGAGCAGAGGACGCAGTGGCAGTAGGAAGACGAGTAATCTAAAATGATGCAGTTAGTTATCTGCTGTAGAGTAAGTAGTTTCCCTCCATGTGCAGCGGGAAAGGCAATTAGCAGTATCTGCTTTGAGCTTATTTAAAAACAAAGCAGAAGACAGTAGGCACCAGTCAAAATCTGAAGCTTGCTACTGAACTCTGGGGGTGTTCTCCCCCACCGAGGGGGTTAGCCTTACTGATTTAGATCTAGCGAGCTTGCAGCGCCTCAGAAATTGGAGCTCTAAGAGTGTTACTTGCGACCGTGATGTGTTGCAGATGAAGTAGTATGAGAGAGAAAGAAAAATAGCAATTTTTAAATACAAGGCGAGATCTCAAGAGAGTGATCCAAACATTACTGGTGACATAAAATAACATCTTAATGCACTTTAATGTCATCTAAGTATATATGTGAATTCCCAGGGTAGATTTACATGCTTACAGTTACGTGTTCCTTTAAAAGGCATGTTTGTACAGATTGGCAGAGTTGCAGTCAGTATGATACAGTGGGAAATCAGCAGTTAAATCTCCCAGTTTGCGTGCAGCCAGGGGAGCAGGGACTGAGCGTCAGACTCAACGTGAAGCCCCGCATCGGGCAGTGTGGCAGCCAGCTGGTGTTAGAAGTTTGGCCCAGTCTTTGAGAAGTGCTGTTTTCAAAACACGGTGTGATTCCTGCAGATGCTTCTTAGTGATTTTAAAAGGTAGATAGGATTTTTCATTTCTTCTGTGAAAAGTATCTTTCATTTGTTGAAACAGTGAGAAATGACTATACCCAGAAAGATCCCTCAGCAGTGCGCCTCAGAGCTTGAGTACAGCTGCCAGGATGGAGAAGCACCTGCATGTTGATAGGTGTTGGCTGATCCAGCCATACGCATAACCCGAAGCCTCATTTTGCAGTCATGCGAAGTCCGATGCAGAAGGGGACTAGTTAGGAAGACTTCCTTCACTCTAAAATTATATCTATTACAAATAGGTTAAATTAGTTTAAACACCAAACTTAACTTTTTCATACCCTCTAGCACAGTAAAGAAAAAAGAAAAAAGAGAAGAAATTATTCCACTACTACTTTTAAGATAGTGTACTTGAAAATTACTTCAAACTCAGTATAGCAAATAAAAGCTTCTATTTGGAGAAGAGACAGTTAGAGTAAAATGTGCTCTTGCTAGAATATCTTTTGGAATTCCATCTCCTTTTTGTTGTAATGCTACTGCTTTTAAATTTTTATTTGGGAAACCTTATGAAGTCTTGGTGGAAGAAAAGAGCTGCATTTCTTTAATAAAAATTTTAAAATCTGGAAAATGGCACAGAACTTTTGCATGCTACTTAATGGTTAATGCCTTTTACAGATTAAAGAAAATTTAAAAAATTAAATAACATTTCATTAAGTTAAGTGAAGCACTATGCTCTGTGCCATGCCCCTCATCGTCTGTGCATATAGAATTTTTGAATTTTGAGTTCATAATTACAGATCCAGACAAGGAGACTGAGGCTCTGCTTTGTCTTGTGACGGGAAACTTCTGTATGTTCATCCTGTACAGAGGACTTCAGAGTCAGTTATTCACCCTCTAGTTTCCGCACATAGTTCCCATGTAAAGGCACACTGAAGATCAGGAGCTGCAAGAACTGGAATGCTAAGCAGGCAGAAAGCAAGAGCTAACCGTCAGGAAAAGGCCTTCGGGGAGGGAGCTTAGCTGGCTTCTGCAGAGTCAAGAAAAGGCTTCTCCTCACACTTCATAAGCCTTTTCTGAAGTTCAGCATCTATGCTGTTACTCCCAACAACAAATCATGATCTTTTTTTCTTTGTAAAACAACGGGATGCTTATTTACCTGTTTTCTGTTTTCCTACTCTACTGGCTGAAACACTGGAGAAGTTTTCTGCCTCCTGAGTTCAAACCGCACTACTGTGGTCGTTGCCCATGTAAGGCAATTGCCACCCTTCTGTTAAAGGTTTCACAGAAAAGACGGCAAGGTTCCCTGGGCCAGAAAGAGAAAGCAAGCACGAGTCTGACCGTGGCCTAAAACTTAGGGCTCTTTTCAGCCTCAAAGTAAAAGTCTTACAAGGAAATCTGTCCGCTCATGCCACAGCTAGAAAGTATTATTATTTATATTGCAGTCATATTCCGAGTACAGGATTTTTAAATTTATTAGGCCGTTTTAAAGGGCAAGTTGCATTTTCTAAATGGCTGATAGTAGCTCATATTCAGACAACTCTTACACACTAGGGAGAAAAGAGTATTTTGTAGCCTGTTTATTCAAGGTTTGAAACGCTTAAAACTATTCTTTCAAATTATATTCCCTAGAATATATGGAGATTTCTGAATGCATGCTCAAATTGCAAAAAGTCTACCCAAAGGAAGATACTCTTTATATAGTTTATTGTTTCCTCTTCCTTAATGCTTCAAGGAGAATATAAGCTACAGTGTAGAATAACATCAGGAAATGAACAGCAACAGTGATTGAATCTTGGGTATTAATGGTTTTCTTTGGTTTTGCCTAGGGAAAGCAAAGAAATGCGTGCCAACCAGGCTAAAATATCTATGGAAAACAGCAAAGCCATAAGCCAGGATAAATCTATCAAAAACAAAGCTGAAAGGGAGAGGTAAGTATCAGATCTCCCTTCCTGAGACAGCATCTCACAGGCTGATTGACGAACTCACTGGTTAAATCTATTAGAAGCATACTTCCATGCGTGGAAACAACATCTTGCACTTCTGTCTCGTGATTGTGCTGAATATATTTTAGATGGCCATTTAATGAAAAATGTTTCTTTTCTCATTTTTATCCCTTTAATAAATGTAATGCCCTGGTCAGGGAAATAAGAGGGGGCTTAACTTTATAAATCAGCTCTGACACTGACTGATGTAGGACTAGTCACACTACTAGACGGAAGTACATCTGTAAGACTTTTAATGACTGGGGTATTAGTTTTATTTGGAGATTCTTTTTTCTTCTTCTTCAACTGCTGGCATTATACCTTTTTGCTGTTGCTTTTTTAGTGAATTCAAGGATATACTGACAATGGAGTCTAAGGTTTGGTTCTAGCTGGAGTTAGAGGAACTGGACACGTAGCATCACTGAAAACACAGAAGTGGTGCCAGTGAAAGGTTTTCTCCCTCATCTGCTAATAACAGGGAAGAGAGATGGAACAGAAAAAGAGGATGCTCTAAGTGATGATAGTAAGCAGAGAGGGTGGTGAAAAAGATTGGAGAAGCAGGAGATGTGCTCAGCAGCAACACACATGTTGATCCTCCACACCTCGACTGAACTGCTGCTGTTACTGACTGGCATTGGAAACCTGGCCAACATCCTGGCTCTGCAAACTGGGGGCACCGCTGCACTTGCAAAAGCGGGGTAGTCGCTACACATTTGGGGAAGTCATCCTTGATTGACTTGAGAGACTAGAGAGAGACTTTTCAGTAACAGCTACTCAGGAGGATTGGATCTGCGTTACAGCTATTTAAATTTCTTGTGTTTGTTCTAGAAGTTTCCAAATAAATAGCAGAGAAAAAGAAACAGTCTGCACAATGATGTCTCTTGAGCCTTCAGGGTTTCCCTTTGACTTTGGGCTTGCCATTTGTCTTACTCTTTCTTCTTTCCATTCCCTCCTTTGCGCTGGGCTGTTTTGCTCCAAAGGCTTGAATGGGTTGCTACAGAGTTAACTCCCTTGAGCGTTACAGACTCCTAGCATATGAGGAAGATGAGGGTTGTCAGAGGCCTTGCTAACTTACACGGGTAGGCTTAGTTTACGTAAGACCTCTGTTAGTGACACGGAGATAAATCTGTTCCTGCATTTGAAAGCAGTCTGAAGGCAGTTCTGCTTTTCAGCTCTGTGCTTAGTCTGATTCAGCTCTTTGAACTGTTTTTGGTGTATTTCATGACAGAAACCCTAATGAGAGAGAATTGGCAGTTATATCTTTTATGTAAATATTAATTATATGTTAATCTTTTTGTTTAAATAGTAATTTTAAAAACCTTACAGGATTGGTAACTTTACTTAGGATCACCAGAGGATTTCTCCGTGACCGCTGTGAAGAGATGTAACATTTTATATTTACCAAAATAAATCTAGAGTGCAACAAGAGATATCACAAAGGAATTAAACAAGTTATATCTACCACTCCTGAGTAGGGGACAAATCAAGCTTCAGTCACGTGTTGGTCAAGGAGACAATGTTGGTCTCCTTTTCAAGCCTTCAGTCATAGTATCAAGGGTGCTTGGAAATATTTAAGTGTAAAGACGCACAGCTAGAAGAGTATGCAATTTGCCGTTAGTCCCACTTGCTACAGATAATCAGAAACCAAAATACATTCTGTGAGTTTGTGATTCTTTTTATTGTTACTTTTTTTTTTTTTTGGCAATAAGTTTTCACGGACAATGTTTTTTTTCAGGCGAGTCAGAGAACTGAACAGCAGCAACACAAAAAAGTTCCTGGAAGAGAGAAAAAGGGTAACTATAACCTTGACAAAGTCACTGGGCGCTCTTTCTGGATTTTCATTTTCATTTCTCTGTTTTGAGAATTCAGCTCTAATAAACAAACAAAAGTTTGTCCTTGCTTTGTTCCACATACTTGTAGTTTAAAAGATCTAAAATACATAGGAGGAAACTGTTTTAAATTGACAAATTTACTGTTCCTTTTTATTTATTTGCTACTTTTGTATAAAATATATATCAAAAACAGGTATTAGCTTAATATTTAATATTATATATAAAGGCTGTGTGATATAGCAGGCCTCCTCCCACTTTTTTATACAGTCCAAAGGAGGCGAGGCAGCTTATCTGTGTATACATTTCAATTACGTATTTATTTTGCTAGTTAATAATGTGTTACATTTCACGCATTATTTTCTCTTCCTTACAGCTGGCAATGAAGCAGTCAAAGGAAATGGATCAGTTGAAAAAAGTTCAACTGGAGCATTTAGAAGTCCTGGAGAAGCAGAATGAGCAGGTATTTTATTTAAAAGGCTTAAAATAAAAGCAATCTACTAAAAACAGTAATCAGAATCAGGCTGAGTAGAATGCTTCTAAATATATGTTATTTTACTGAACTTGGGAAAATGACCTTGTTTGTGATCACTAGTCTGTTTGAGGAGTTAAAATGAAGAGGTGAAGTGGCTAAAATAATGTTATGAAATCCAGACTGGGTTCAAATAAGCATGTAAAAGCTTGACTGCTTAGCCAGAGTCGATCCTTTCAGCTGTTCTGCCACATTGATATTGGATAGCTAGATACAACAGTCCTAAAAAAGCCTAGCATATCTTATTTTAATTACTCCCAGAAAGTACCTCAAGAAAATCTTGTTTTGTTCATTTTTGAACTTATGTTTCTAGTGCTGATTGGAAAATAGCGGTGAAGAATGTGCACAGAGTATCTCTGAACTTCAAGAGACATTTTAGACTGAACTCTAAAGCAATATAATAGCACAGGGAGTTTTATCTGTGCTAGTCCACCCTCTCCTAGTTAAAATACATGGTTATATTTTGCTGGTTTATGAGAGTTGTATTTTTTGTTGAAAAGCTATTTGGGGAGGAAAGGAAAATTCTAATCTTATTTCTGTTTGGAGCAAGTCTGTATTCTGAGCAGTTCCCTTGCTGAAAGGGTAAGCCAGAGAGCTACAATAATCACACTAACTTGCAGTGTTGCACTTGCACGAATGTAGACTACAAGGGGAATATATCTGTCAGTTTAGTGACATGAGAGAGAGAGAGAGAGAGAGAGAGAGAGAGAGAGAGAGAGGTTGTGGTTAATACCCATCACCTTCACAGGTTATGCACTTATTCCTTTGTTATTAAATGTTAGAACTTGAACACTTTGGCAGACATACTACGAATTAAAGTCATCCTGCAGAGGGGGAGGGAAGAGAATGTACAAATCAAATATTTCCACTATCGGAGGAGAATTCTACAGCCCCATGAGGTGCAGCCTGATTAACTTCTAGGGGTGTAGCAAGCAGGATCGCCGGCAGCTGCTACCGCTGAGCTAGACCCACCGTGGCACTCCTTTTCGACTGCTCCACCTGCCTTTTGGACAGCAAACAGAATTTCCTAGCCTGTTCTTCCACGTGGTTTCCGTAGATACTGTCTCTGATGTCCAGAGCAGATGGGTCTGTTAGTCAGTCTGCTCCTGAGCAGTATCCACATGCAATCAGAAGGCAGAGAGGGCCATCCAGGGGAGGCAGTTGGGCTTCGGTGGATCTGTACAATCACTGCAGTGTGACATACAACTCCCTGCAAACCATGTTGGTTGACAAAAGATGACAGGCATGATCCAAAGCCAGATGATATCAATGATGTCTTGCTATTGGCTTCACAGGACTTTAGATCCAGTATTCAAAAATATAAGGAAAAGAGGGAAGGGTTAGGGTTGTGCTTTTGACCACAACGCAATAATCACATTATGTATAGGGCGATAGGATGCTTTGACAAAAGTGTGAGTCATTAAAGGAGTCACCTCTTTGAGCAATTGGTTACTTCCCTCACCCAGGGTTATGGTCTCCACTGCTGAGAGCTGGTAACTGGCCACATGAGCTTGCTCGTAGTCCACCTCAGTGTAGAGAAGAGGTCAGCTTAAATCTTCAGTAATTAAATGGAGTAAGATCATCTACACGCGTGTTATCACTTTTGCCTGGGCAAGTGGTGGCCTCCGCTACAGGAGTAGTTGTTAACAGCTTTTCAACCCACTCTGATTTGGTCCATCAGAACGTGTATTTCCACACCTGCTGTATGAAGCACTTGCTTTTAGCCCTAAAAGTGCACCAAGGCAAATTTTTGGCTTTAGTTTGACCATAGAGAGTGCTGACTGGAACTCCTCTGAGAAGGCTTTGGAGGTCAATAGTACAGGTGACACCAAGCAGAGACCCTCGTTCATGTACTGGAAGCAGCACAGACCTGTTAGCAAGATGCTACACCCAAGCTTATTAGCTGGGTCTGGTTTCATTGTTATGAACATTGCTGTTTTACAGCTGGTTGGATCAAGATAAAGGTAGTATTTATTCAGTGAACTTTTTGAAATCTTAATTTTTTTTTCTTGATCAAACAAGTGAAGAAATTTTTCATACAAATATGCAATGCAGAAAAATAGAGTTATGGGTGGAAACAGCCTTCAATACAAACTGTTATGAATTTAGATTTGTTTTGTTTTATGTATAATTTTTCTTGCATTAATTTTTCAGTCTCACTTCAGTTTTCATTCATTTTATTTGCTTCTTGTTGTATTACTCAATTTTGACATTATTATTTTTGTATAAACAGCTTTTGAAATCCTGTCATGCAGTGTCTCAAACACAAGGTAGGATGGATGTATAATAAGCAAGCTATTATTTTGGTGTGCTTTCCTTCTAAATTAAATCGTTATCATTGTAAATACAACCACTGGGAAGTACCACTGACGTAGTGAACACAATGTTAATCATGTTTGCACACAAATATTTGAATCTAACACTATATTAACAGTGCCTTATGCTTTAGCATCTCAGATTCAGATGCATATGAACAGCAGTGTGGATAGGAAATATTTAGAGATTAACTTAGATTGTACATTACCTGTCATTACTAGAAGATACGCTTAGAATTCTAAACTGTGTCTGTGAGAAGTGTCTATTGATCTAAGGAAACCATTTTAGAGTTAACATACATATGATTAACTGCTAATGCTGATAGACAGACAAAGCATTTCCACATGTATTAGTATGGTAATAAAATAAGTACTGCCACACTAAAAATAGCAAAATCTAGAATGAATGGCTAGAAATAGCTGCTTAGTGTCTAAAGAATAGAGAGCCTTCCAGCACTTTAACATTCAGTTTACAGCTATATTACAAGGTATGGTAATTATACTTGCTGCGTGAATGGGCTGTTATAGCTTCCTAGTAATCATTACTCATAAGAAGTCTCTATTAACCTCTTGTCTTACGAAGGGCGATAATTGTATCAGGTTTGAGCAGCCAACTGCACAGTATTGCCTGATCGAAATTATTTTCTTGAATTGATAACATACTTATATCTTGCACCACTGAGTCTGGCTGCACCTATTTTAAAGATATTTATTTATGGATATGTAATGAGGAAAAAAAGCATTTGTTAGGCTAGAAAAAAAATATTTGTATTCTTCTTTTAATTCACAAGGTTCTTGGCCTGCCTTAAATCTCGGTAGAGAACAAGCATCTTGAGAGTTGAGTCCGTTAGCTGCCACTACCTTCGTGAATTCACTGCAGCTTTGCCACTGCCTCCACAAGGCTCACCTTCAAGTATTCTGCTGGTGTGCTCACGTCAGCTCATGTGCTGTCTCACCCTGACCGTAAACTAGTAAAAGTGGGCATCCTGATCCTATGCTAATGCGTTCTTTGAAACCAAGTTAACTTTAAAGTATTTCCGTACGTTATATGCTAGCTTGCAGAATATTTATAGGACACTATGTGCTGGTGTTCAAGTCACAAGCCTAAAACGTAAAATGTGTGAGTCACTAAGAAGCAAACAATGGGATTTTGTTTTATCTGGAATTTCATTTCACACACAGGCACAATCCAGCCAACATTTCAGAAGAGGTTGTACATACTGATTTATTTATTATGTTTCCATATTTTCATGTTAAAATTATTTCTTCATTACTTTCAAGCTTTTAACTCATTTAAATGGAGAGTGTTGATTAATTTTTAATCATATTTATGACAGTTGCTTTGCTGTTATCATAATTACTTTTTTTCCCCAAGATGATGATGATGATGATGATGAAAGTACAGGACTAGATTTTTCAAGAGGGCACATTTATCACATATGCACAAACCCACATTTACCTTGCAAAATGAATAACTGCATCTCATTACTTCAGATCTACATTTGCCTATTTTTGCATATGCAAATATATTTGCACATCCAGAATAGGTGACTCCTTAAAGTAGGAGCTTTTGTAACAAAGTTCCCTGTCTAAGCAACCTTTACAACTTGTTGAGAAACATAGTTCACACAGATCAAGTCCAGTAACCATTCTTCCATTTAAGATAGATATAGACCACTAAAGCAGTTATTCCAAAGAAAAGATTAGCTTGATTTTCCCTTTCCTAAACCTTCCCTAATCCGTGGAAGTTTGGTTGTAAAGGTAGATGGGATAGCTTGCACCTGGGTCAAGTTATTCAGAGTTCTTTGGGTTATGGTTTTAAATAAATTCTCAAATTGAGAGCCCTCAAAGAAAACGAAGGAGGAGCTGGTGTCTTCCAGTTCCTTTTAACTGCAGAACTGCAAACCAAAGCGCAACTTCTAATCCATACCTGAGCCACAGGAGGAGTTAGAGTGTGTGTGTGGGAGAAAGAGGAAGAGGGAGAGAGAAAGAGGGAGAGAAAAGAAAGCCACCCCAAAGCTAGGGATTTCCCAGGCCAGTTACCATTCATATTTAGTGCTTTAACTCTGCTTGCAAAGCCTGAGGCACCTGGAGTTTAAAGCAAGATCTGGCATAAATTCATCACTGTATTCTGCAAAACATGTTTGGATACAGTTTCAGGTGGATTCGATGTGTGTAATCGCAAGAAGAACGTGCTTAACCTTGAGGTGAAAAACAGCACATCTGCAGTCATGAGAGATGGTTAGGAGCGCCAGGCCAGATGAAGATTATTTTTAAAGAGCTTTCTTGCCAACTGCAAGGAGGATGTTCCAGTGAATGATTTTCATCATTCACTGTCTTCTGGAAAGAGATGGGTCCAGATCGTAGGTCAACACTCTGGACATCTCAGGACGTGACACCCCCCGGCACTAACACAGCAGTGATCTAGCATGTATTCTCAAAGCCATTTGCGTGTCGGGAGTAGTTGAGTCAGCATCTGCCTAGTTTTCTTCACAGAAATCAGAGCTTGTGTGTTTTACCATATGCTTGCTCAGAAAGATGACCCATGACTCTTGGAATAGGATCAAAAATATTTTCCAATAATTTGTAAACATTAAGAATTACATCTGAGTTTGAAAACACAGGGGCATTTGGGGGGTTAGGATAATGTGATTACATGTATCTTCAGTGTGTTTTGCCTATATTTCATTCAGACACTATCATATAAAAAACATGCTTCACTTTGAACACAAAGTCTAATGCAATACTTCACATGGTTATTGTGGATTGCAGGCAAAGGAGATGCAGCAGATGGTGAAGCTGGAAGCAGAGATGGATCGCAGGCCAGCAACAGTGGTCTAAAGCCTCAACATGCAAATTGAAGTTAGAGAACGCAGCACCCTTTAAAAGACAGCAAAATTCACACTATTGTTGCTGGGTTTTCTTTTTTTTTTTTTTTTTTTTAATATTTGAAGAGTAGCTATGGACCACCAAGTCTTAAGGTTTGCATATTTCTTTTTTAACACTGGGCACAGAAATTTCTTTGTTGGATTTCCATAATATGAATTTCCTTTGTTCAGAAAAACGCTATAGTCAGAAGATGAACACAGTTTTTAAACCCAGTCCTGTATTGCCTTCTCTATCTCGACAAGCAGTTTGCCTGTGTCAGAATTATGCAATCAGATCCTTGAAACACAGCAGATATTTTTAACATCATCTCAAATGGTAACAAGACTGTAGTCATGTTATTCACCATTTGTATTCTCATGTGTGATATACTGTGTGTAGAAACCCCATGCTGCCAAGTCCTGACAAGTCACAACTCATCGGTTGCTCAGCACCTGACAACATCAGGCCCGTTGAACTGGATCTTCTGCTAAGCCACAGTAATAATAACAGTCCTATTCAGTTTAGTAAGGAGTTAAGTTTGGGCATTTTTTAATTATACCTTGAAGCATATTTCAGGCAGCGGACGGTAAGCTGTTGAAAATTAATTGCATATACTCGAAAGTAGAGTATCTACAGTCATTGGCCGAATTCATCACCTGTAACAGTAACTTGACAGGATATTTCTGCATTCAAATGATGTCATTCACAAGTGCCGTATCAACTCTGTCATGTCTGAAAGAAGCTGATATCCTGTAGAAGCTACTGAAAGGGTTAGCGTGAGGGAAATACAGTGTATTTGTGCCAAAATTGCTCAATGCTCTAAGGAATTATGTATTAGGCACTTTAAGAAAAGTTTACATCATACGTTGCTTGTATAGAAATTGCATTTTGATCCTATTGCTGCAGGTCCCCGATATTACAATTCATTGTAACTTACAGATTGTTTAAATGGCTTTTGGCAAAAAGTTTGTAACTGTGAAAATGTAAAAAGTATTTATACACTTCAGAATCACAACATTGTAGAAAAATCACATCTATGTTGCCATGTGGTAAGATTAGTAAGCAGAAATACTAAGAGTATGTTTGCATGTGATGCCAATAAGACTGTAATGCCTACTATATGACCACAGTCATTCTGCTAGCCAGTAAATACTGAATAAATGTATGGCACAGAATATTGTTTGATCAATTACAAAGACTTTTAGCATAACAAGGTCTATATATATATGTGTGTACATTAATTATGTGGGCATTCTTGATACTTCTAGTAAAAGAAAAGTACATAACTAATTTAATTTTACACAAAAGTATTTATGCAGATTTTCAGAATTTCATATCAGGAATAACCTTTTTATGTCCATTAGATATAAAAACAATTTACTAACGTGTTAATTTGCATGTTTCTAAAGCTTGCTGTAGTTATATTGCAAAACAATGCATGAAGCATTCTGCTTGGAATTTGTCCATGCTGCCAATACAAAGATGACTGCATGGAAAACTGGTAGTTTAGAACAAATCAGATTACTGATTTCAATGTACTAAGCACCAATTAAGTTGTTGTATATGCTTGTACAAATGAATTCTACATATTCCTATAAACAAATGAAATGAAAAGAGATTATTATGTTATTGTCAGTCCTGAGATGAAACTTTCAACTTCTCTAATAAAAATCTTAAAAATCCAAAAACTGTAGTTGTCACTGTAGTCAATTATGGGGTCATGGTGTTATTACTAAAGAATTTTTAATAAGTTGTAAAGTATTTCCTGTAAAAATGCATATGGTGTAAATATATTTATATCACAGCTTATTATTCAAAGGAGTCTTATTTCATTTGCTTTGAGTGATAGCAGAATTGTGCAGTGCTGGCCCTTGCAGCAGTACAAGACCGCCGGAGTACGGTACAGCGCTGCCTTGAGAAGCCAACTAAGGCAGAAGTCAGTATAGTATTGAGGTGTGTAAAGTGGGATTTAAACAGGCTTGCGGTGCCTATTCTCAAAGCTATAAACAGACGGCTCCCACTCTGATGCCGTTTAGCCCCTGGAAGCACCTCCAGCTCATGAACCGTGACATTTCAAAGACAAGTTCTGTTTGCTGTACGTGCACTGAGCCACCTCACCTGCCCGCCAAGCTCGGTTTTTCCTCTCCCGGAGTGCTTGAAGGAGCTGGTAGCAGCAGCATTTATGGAGCATGCTTGACAGAAAAAAAAAAAAAAAAACAAACTGTAAAATACAGCTGCTGGAGACAGTGCTGCAAGCTGTGCTTTTATACCACGGCCTGGCACAGTGTTTTCCAGTAAGAAGTGTAGGACAGAGACCACGCTACTAAATCCTGTCAGATAGGAGGGACAGTGCAATGGCATGAGTTCTGGGACGTGGAGGGAATGGGGCTTGCTGAAGCTTTGCGCGTTACTGGTTTTCTTAGGTTGGGTTACCGCCTGGTTAGAAGCGGGAGCCCTGGCTGCTGAAGAAGCAACTCTAAATGGGAGGCCTGGGTTCAGGTCACTTCCCTCTCCGAGGAAAATCAAATCTGCTAGGACTACCTCCCTGGAGAGTATCCTGTACTTTGGGATATGAGCTGGTTTTGGAGGGGAAGGGAATAATTTTGAGTGCGTACTCACGGCTCAGCCAAGAGTTAGGGATTTAATCTTGAGTCCGAGCGTGCTTCTGCGAAGCGGGGGAGCCAGGCAGCCTCCGCTTCCAGGCTCGGCTCCCAGGCTGGTACGTGCTTCATCCATTGACAATTGAACACAAAATGCAGGCAGTAATTTGAAATTAAGTGATGAACTTTGTCAAGTAAGTATTTTGAAATACCTTTTAAGTAGTAGTTGATGCAAAAATTATTTGAAGTCTGACCACTAACAAGCGGTGAGAATTTCCTTTGAGACAAAATAGGCTGATTAATTTGAACATCTGTACTGAGCTGAAGCCGTTTAAGATGCCGTTCTTAGCCCGGGTGATGGATTCCTCTTCACTGCGATTTCATCGCAGGAAGCGGTAGATTATCCCTCTCATCAGATAAATTCGGCGTAGCGCTGACGGAGGGGAGGGTCGTGACGTCCCGGCCTCAGAAGCAGCCTGCTAGTCTTTCACTTCCAATAATTTGAGGCGTTGTCATTAACTTGATTTTTTCCAAGCAGAGGGTCAGAGGTCTGGTTAACCCTTTCCCCACTTCCGTGGGACTAAGCTTTACTGCCGGAGACCCTAAATACGCCCAGGAGGCTGATTTCCCTGCAGACCCCTTCCCGCACTGTTGCCGGCAGGCCGCTGGCGAAAGCGGCTCGCGGGGACAGCGGCGTCCCGGAGGCGCTGGGCTAGCGGAGCCCGCTGGGCAGGGTCGCCGCGCGGGCTGGGGAGA